AACCAAAATTTTCTTTCACATAAGAAATCCTTATGTTACATACATTTTACTTAGGATCCCATGCCTAAGCACTGAGACAGAGATGTGAAAGCATGGACACAGCATGCTGCACTCCAGAGTTCCTAGGCTATGATAACCTTTCCATTCAGGCTCTGAGAAGCAGATCTAGACCATCTCTGAAACCACTTTAAATTATGCTTACTGGGAACCGAGCATCTCAAGAGGCAAATACAAGTTTCCCACTTGTGCTTCTAACCTCCTTCTGACCAGCGTCTAATGCTAGGCAGGTAGAAGCACAGATTTGACACAATGCCATCCTTTTAATCTGCAATCATGCTCTGCTGATGAGCAGAAAGCCAGCAGGATGGATGGAAATACTTGTACTATTTGCATATCCTATAAAGCTCTAAATTAACTTTATCAGCTCAGGACAAAAGATCTGGAGAACACTGTAAGCAAACATCTGTTCAATATACATTCACCATTAAAAAGTAAACAGTAGGTTTGGCTCCATCAGGAACAGGTTGAAAATTATCAGAGTACAGCACATAACATAAACTGATGGCATGGCCTAGAATACTCTGTAAAGCAATGATCACACCAGCACAAAACCAGCTCTCAAGCATCAAACCAGCTTGAATGATTAGAGCTTAAACATGGAATAGCATTCACAAGGAGAGACTGAAAAGACCAGGAGATTCTAAGTGTTTGACAAACGTTTATAAAATAATGAATGGTATAGAAAAAATGGATGGGAAGCTTCTGCTTCCAGGCAACTGACTCCAGAACAAGAAGACAGAAGATGCTCAACGCAACTGAAGGTGGGAAACTCTGAGCTAATTGAAGGAAATGCTTTTAGTGCTGTCTGCAAAAATATGATGAACTGCTTTGGTATAGGAAGATGTGAAAGACAAGATCTGGAGTTTCCAAGAGCCTGAATGTCAAACGGAGAACTATTATGTACAGCTTATTAGGTTTTATGTACTTAATACTAAAAGGTTATGAAAGATGATAAAATCTCCATGTTCAGGGTTAGGACCAGTCTCTAACTCTAAAAGACCTAATTTTACCTGTGTCAGCCTTCTCTCAAATATCACAAATATCAAAACCACAGTATTAAACACATGGCACAGTGATCCAGAGCATCTTTATTAAAAAACAATTTCTCCTGGAGTTTTTCAGGGGAATGGGTAAGGATAAAGGCAGAGGCATTGCTCCCCCTCTTACATGGCCTGTACAAGAACTATGAATGGCTACTGCTCTTTGTAACAGGGCTGAGGGGCCAACGGGACATCTGGCATGAAGCTCCCCTGCATCCTCATGTGTCCTTAGGCTGAGATTGTCTCCTGCTGATTTCCTAGCTATGCCTTAATATTAAAGCTGCACCAGGAGCAGTTTTCCTTTCTACATATTTTCCTGAATATGTAGAGAGATACTGCTTTATCTCAAATCCCAGCCAAAAGAGAGGTAAAAAAAAAAAAGTTTTGTTAGAACTGCCCTACACATCCAAATCCTGAGACTGGAAACAATTCAGATGTCTACAGTCTAACCGGGATCTTAATTTGATTTTACAGCAGTTTAATCTCTTTGAATTCAGCAGACTTCCTTCTACAGTGGTGTAAGAAAGAAAAAAAAAAATCACGCCATGTGTCTTTTCATAGGCAGGTGAGCTTCTGCAGTGTGATGGAAATGAGAAGATGAATGTCAGAAAGTGGGCCAAATTCTTTTCTCCGTTGAACAAGTATGAGTGAGAGTAGGATTTTTCTGTAGGAACTGAAGCTGACAGCATGTCAACCCGTACTCATTCAGCTGGGAGGGCTGGGAGAGATTATTTAAAGTTGTCAGCTCCTTCCATGCCTGGCTTTTGGCAACTCTTCTTGTCCCTTTCCACTGTATACTCTTTATACATGCTGTTTTAAATTAAGAAACTGAAGTGAGGGAACTGAAAGGTAAACTTAAAGAAAATAATGCAGAAACAAATGTTTTGCCCTTTTTTTTTTTTTTTAATTTTAAATTTATTAGATAGGGAGCTTGCAAACTGTGACAGGTCCTACAGTGTACTCCATGGGAAACTGATGCCCTGTTGTTCCTTGCTTAATTCTGGCATTTTGGCAACTGCAAATATCCAGAACAGGAGAGAAATATCTGATTCCATAAAACTGGAACAGAACAAATAATTGATAACAAATAAGGTTTGTTTTCCACTCATCTCAATCTTCTGCTAATAACTGGTAGAAGGCAACATCAAAATGCAAATGAGCCAGCGCTGGAGCTCTGAGAATACACAGGGTGAGTAATACATCATTTCAAAAGGTTTTCATAGGTGCTCATATTATGGACATTTTTAAAAGTCTGCCAGCATGAATCTGCTCCATCAAAGTAAGACATTATGGTTTAATATCTTGGTCTGTGCATTTTCACAGGGATATTTTCTGTGTCCGCCTCCCTGAACTGACTATCCTTCTTGTCATTTATCTCCCTTTTGCCCCTAACTCTGTCAGCACAGTCACTGAAGACAACTGAAGGAATAAACTGCTTGTTTAATTAGACCACTGTCTAATTATTATGGATATCCTTCGTAATAAAACCCCAACAATATGTAAAAGAATAAGCCAAAGTACTTCTGATGATGATTACTTCCCAATCTATGAAGCAGAATCCCCAGTCAGTAGAGAAAAGCACAATTTGCTTTTAAAGCATTTTGCTCTCAAGACTTCACAGATACTTTATGAACTTCAAGAAACGAGTATGTCAGGAAGGTTTCTGAAAGAAAAGTAGCTAGTTAGTACGTACTACTGTACTGGGGTCTCTTTTCTATTCTACGATAATGTATATATAATATTATACTGATCTAAAAAAGGTGAAAATGCAGTGGAAGTGCTGTGTACTCTTCATGATTTCATTCTTTTCAGCTTCCTATGAAGCAACGTCGTTCCAACTATAATGACATTAACAGCACATATCTGAGTGAGCGTCATTCTAGGCGGTTTTGCGCAGTTTCATCGCAAAACGAAGACTTTGCGTACGTGGGTGTAGGTACAAAAAAGACAACTCTAAGCGTATTCTCTGAGCTGATCCAAAGCCTATTAAAGACAACAGGATCTTTTCGCTGGTGCTCACAGGTTCTGGATTAGGCCCTGCTTTACTCATTTTAAAACGATCCTCCATTCAACGTAATTGCTACCTGTGGCAGACATTCAGTTCAAACACTCGGGAACAGGGCTGCGCTGTTAATAGTGCACAAGGCCATATGCATGGGGCAAGATAAAAACCTCAAGCTTCTGCTTGCAAATCATCTCAAGGGTTGTTTTTTTTTTGCTTACATTTTGCTTACAAGTCTTGTGCACATATTTTAAACTCATACTATTTTATATTATCATTTGCTCCACTGTTATTTCCACTTTCAGTGCACCTTGGCTGTTTCAGAGCCAGGGATCCACATGCAGTGAGCAGACCCATGTGCACACAACTACTAGCTGAGCTTGAAGCAATGAGAAATGCCAAGGTAAACATCTAAGGACTGTTCTCCATTTGAAGCCACCATGTATCACTATACAATACTATTGACTCAAGAAGTAATGCTGAACACTGGAAGTGTTCAGTCAGCATTTTAAACTATTATGAGCTACCTTCTGAACCATTGCCAAGTTAATAGACAATGAAAGATAATGAGCTTGAAATTGGGTGTTAAATTGCATTTTTGGTTCTCTCTTTTTTTCCTGAAGTTTAACTGTTTCCTGCAGAAACAACATCATCTTTGATGTATCATTATGTAAATGTCTATTTTTAGGTCACAAATATAGTCAGGCATGGGCTAAACCCTTACTCCTCCTGCTCCATGTGTGCGGGAAGGAGTAGAGAGGAGGACAACACACAGCAAGACCCAAACTTTCTGGTCTCCAGAGGGAGGAAGGTGGAGAGAGGAGGTTAGGTCTGTCGGCAGCATAAGCCTCCAAATTAAGAAGATTACTCCATGTGCTCATTAACAGTAGGCCTGGGCAGTGACATACAGGGAACACTAAAAAGACCACATTTGTATTCCACAGGCAACATGCGGAGTATTTCTAAGCATTCCCAAACCTTTAAGGACTTTCAGCTGAATTCGGCTTTTTTACAACCTGAAACACCTTCATCATGTGGGGTAATGTGTATCCAACCTGCCCAGACTGTAAAAGTCACAAAATGCTGCAAATTTACATATCAGCATGAAGAAAGTTAATAGCAGTTATTTTTATAAAAGCAGCGTCATATAATAATAGCTCTTCATTGCCAGAATTTACCGCTTCACCTATGATTGTTAATTATTTTTTTTTTAAAGTGTGACTCCTAGCAGCATAAATACACTACTTAAAAATGTGAAAAGTGGATCTAGCATTGAACACTAGATCAAAAGTTGAATGGAGAGTCTGCTACTGAAGCTGTACTTTCTTTTCATAAATAACTGCAAAGAATAGGACATGATAAATACCAGTACATTATGCTTCCGATAGTTTTTTTTATGTTCAACATAAAAACAAAGAATAACTGTAATTATGAAAATAATTCAAATAATTCCAAAAGGCAGAGAAATCTTACCTGATACCTGTTACCTGTATTTTTTGAGGACTGAAGATTAAATTAGGATAGGAAGATAGGCTTATACTCATTAGTATAATTGTGGGATCTTTCTTTTATTTTCCTTTTAAACTAATGAGTTGCATTAATCCAGGTTCATTTTTATAAGCCTCTTGGGTGCAAATGTAAAGGACAGTCATTTTAGAAAACAATAAATTAAAAAAAAGCATGTAGCATGCAATAAGTGCATGTATTTCATAAGACCTAGGTTAATACAACTGGCATCTATTTTAATTAATCCTTGTTAGTGTAACGACTAATATCCCTCCCTAGCATGTTTCCTTTAAACATTAGTATGTTAATTAAATGTTGTTTTTTTAAGGGCATTTTTTTCTTTTGCACTTCAATATGGCATTATACCATCTAAAACTATTCTGAACAACTACCTTATAAAGATGTTTCCTCACAATATCGGGCCTCTTGCAGAAATTCTGAAGCCTTTTAAAAAGCTGTTCAGGTGTAGAATACAGATATTCAGCTGCAGGAAAAACAGATACATTTTTAATGAAACAAAAACCTCAAAGCACACACTCGATATTAGTCACTTTACTAATTAAAAATGCATATTGCTCTGTGCTGCCTCGTGTTTTACATTATTTAAGCATGATTTTATAAGGTTACCTCAGCTCACAAGGATGTTTAATGCTAAATAAGACTGTGTAGTTGTGCTGTTTAGACATCTCCTTTGGGTGATTAAAATACATTATTCTAATGTAACACAATGCATATGTGATACATTTAGTGATGAGATTTTTCAAAGAACTGGTACTACATTAGTGCGCATCCTGTATCACAGTTGCATGCTATTAAGTATTAAATTGTTTAAATAATTTGGTGTGATTTTCAGGCCTTGCTGGTCTGGTGGGTTTTTGCTGTGGTTTTTTTTTTTTTTGGTGTATCAAAAAAATCTGCAAACCATTGCAGCATCACTGACCTTTTAACAAAAATCTATCATTATGGGTTGTGTATGCTAACAATGAAGAATGCTATTTCAAAACTTGCTTTTGTGTTATCTTAAAAGAACAGATGGCAAATATAAACTTCGTCTAATGTATTAAAACACATAAAATTTTCCTTAACACTAACATGTTGGCTTGCCAAATAAACAATTGCTTTTGCACAAGTTTAGTCTCAAACTCTGTATTTTAGCATGAATCACGTTGTTACATTTCAGCAAAAAGAATATGCAACAAAGCAGCTACCTGGAAATATCTCTGGGTACACCAAGGCTTTGGGACACAGTGGATAACAGCCACAATATACAGCTTCAACCCTGAAGATCAGAAACAATAAATACATAAAAATAGACATTAGTGAGACAAAAACTTATTTTGGTGCAAGAGCTTTGAGGTTGACCACATATAGCAAGAATGAAGCATTTTTCCTTCAGCAGCATAATCTTTCTAAATGCCAAAGTTGCTCTTTTTAAAGAAAATTTTATTGATCATATGAATTACACAGAACAGAACAGCGAGCATATGTTTTGTTCGCTGAATAAATCAAAGCGCAGCTCTGCATTTTTTTGTTTTTTAAATACTGTTTAACACATTTTATAATCAGCAGACAGACACATGTAACAACATGGTGAAGTATGGACGGCTTTTCTTAATAACGCTGCAGAAAAACAAGGGCATACATGCACATGTTTGGAGATACGTGGATGTATACACAGATGCATGCCATCACCGTTACCTGACAGAACAGATACTCTCCTCAGACTTTGAGACTCCAAAGGTTACAGTTAAATATAGCCTAGGAACAACTTACAGCATGCTTCAGGCTGAGATATTTTAGCTTATGCACATGCTTCAGATAATTTCCTTTATTTTTCAGGACATAAACTGTTGTATTTTCTAATAACTACTGATGAGATTCCTTTGCCAAAGTGTGCAATGTTTTGTACTTGTGTTTTTTCATGGAACAATTTACATATCTTCTGTAACATCAAATCCAAATATTTTATTATTGTATCACAGTGGTGCAAAGTTTTCTAGTAGAAAATCCGAAGAAAAGCTATCCTCTTCATGTCTGCATTTTAATAGCTGAATATGGGTTAAGGCATCAACTTTTCGGTTTGCTTTTTTTTTGCATAATGACCATTGATCTGACATAATGTCCCTCCAAAGATACAACTGTAATTTCTGTTGGCCAGAAATTACACAGTGAAATTCAAAACACTTCTTAAAATATGTTTATTTTATGAGAGTCTTTGAATCTCCTCCAACATGTTGACCATACGAGGGCTTTATTTTTAACTTCAGTTTCCCTATTTTAAAAAAAATAATCTGAAATCTTGTCAACATTCACCTTTTCTATTTTCAGTGACAATCCAAAAGGCTTTCGCCACTTTATGTGCATATTGGATTTGGCACTTTATTATGGGCACCCAGAAGGAACTCTGTTTCCTTTAGATCTGCTCAGTTTTAACCAGAAAAAAAAAACCAAAATAAAGAATAACATATTCAGCTTTCGTGCTAGAAAACTATGCATGAACAAACCTCAAAGATACACATTTCTCTGCAAATGCTCTTGCTAAGCAATGATTGCTGGTGTTTTTTTTCATAAACTTTTAAAATTTGTATTTTTTTTTTAAATAACATATGCACTTCAGATTGCATTTTAAACATTAACAACAATTTCAAAGTGTACATCGTCTAGCACTATATTTTTTACCAAAGGGAAATGTTTCTGATGTGTGATTTAATTGATGATTTCAGTTTTTAAATATTGTGTCATATGTCAAAGCAAATAGATTTTTAAAGTTTTCTTCAATCTAGGAGAAAAAAAAGAGTGAAACTGTGGACATTTCAGTAATAGCTCAGATCACTAAGTTATGTTAAAATATTTGCTTTTCAGACATATCGTCTGCATGGAAAAAAAAAAAAG